TAGGACACTGGATGTTTGCCATCTACACAGATTCCCCAGGAGGTTAAAAAAATTTTTTTTTTTACATTCTCTCTTTAAGAGCAGACCAATAACCAACATTCAAGGAAATTTTGGCATTTTAGCAGAGAAAACCAGATCCTACTTTTGCACTGGCATATTTGATACTAAAGGAACCACAGCCTCTTTTTTAAAATAATACAAATAAAACAAAAACTGAGCCAGATTTGGACAAAACTTTAACATAATTATTTATTTTTCAGTCTCCTTATTTGCACGTACTATAATCCAAAGCAAATCAAATTCTGTTTCCACAAACTTCTACAAATTTATCCCTTCAGGTTTTGTCCTTTATTGTCCTCTTTCTTATTTTGGAATGACCGGTCATTTTACTTTAGGATAAAACTTTTCTTTTTCTCTTCTTAAAAAAAAAACACAAAAACAGAAAAACCCACCGTATCTTATCACCGTGTGTGGCACTTGTACATGCCTGCCGCTATTATTCCTAATGGAGTTTCATCCATATGTATTAATTATACCATTTAGCCAGAGTAACTTCTGTTTTAGAGGACAACAGCCTGTCCCACACCAGCATTTTAGAAGAACTCATGAGTACACCTAACACAGCTTTCTATAACCACACGTCATTCAGAGTATGACTCCAACTATGTACTGTGTTGGCCAACATCTCCCAGAGTTAAGCCAGATCTGGACTGAAATCCTTTCACCACGGTATGCTTTGCGCAGTTGCCTTCTCTAAGCCTCAGTTTCTACAGGATAAACATGATACGAGAACATTTTTAACTTCCCGTGGCCGGTGAAGGGCCCTGAGTAAGTGTCCTTTTCCTTCTTTCCTGCTGGGTGTAGGGCTGGACTCCTATCACACACTAAGCATTAATGTGGTGCCTACTGTAGGCACATTATTATTTTTATTACTTTATTATTTTTATTATCTTGAGCTCTGGGGCTTGTAGTAATGATTAAGACCTGGTCCTACCTTCCTGAAACTAAGGATCAAAGTCTTCTCAGACTTACTGCCTCCCCATGTCCCCAAAGAGGGCATTGAAGCAGAAGCGAAGAAAGCAGGTCTAGCTAGACCTTCCTTGACTAGGACACCGGAGGCCGGATTCACTGTGAGCTTTGGATCCCCTGTCTGTTGAGTGGGCAGGAGCGAAGCCCGCCTCACAGGACCGTGCGAGCATTACGTGAGGCGCCGTGTGTGAAGAACTTAGACCAGGACCAGGCTCACGCGAACCATTGACTGACCCTTAATTACTGACTCTCCTTTTCCTCGCTTTTTCGACTACTCTATGCCAGACAGTGTTGATTTGTAGCTCAACGCAAGGCAACGAGTTGTTTCCCCACCTCACCTATGGGTGTCATGAGGCCCAGAGAAGTTCCGCAGCTTGTCCAACCCTGCGTAGTTGGTACAAGCCGGAATTTGCACCCAGGTTAGTCCTTCTACCAGGCCCGGGGTCTTTCTGCTCTCCTCCTGCTGAGAGTGTGGCAGGGGACATGTCACAGGGCCGGCGGGCCTCACACAGATCACTCCATCCCTTTGAGGCTGCAGGGCCTCGTCTATAAGATGGAAATGACCGTGTACCTACACTACAGGGTTCTGGTGAAAGTGAAAAGATGAGGAAATCACGCGGCCCGGGGCCTGGGGCCTGGGGGCCCGGGGCCTGGCTCACGGTCCGTCCTTGGTCACCGCTAAGTGCTCGTGCATGTCTGTGGACGGAGGGAGGGATCCAGCCTCAGCAGGAGGAGAAGGTGGCCTTGACCCAGGGGATCTGGCGGTGTTCTGAGAAGAGGCCATGGAGCCAGCAACGGCACGGAAGGGAAGACAGCCGGTCTGCTTGGTCTGCTCGGGACTGACCCCATGTAGCTACAACTGGATGGGGGCAGAGGGGCACGGAGGGAGTGGCCCCCGGAGGCCTGCCTGAGGGAGAGAGGCAGCCCGAACTGTGGGAGCAAAAGTCGGAGCCAGAGAGGTTTCTGCCCAGGGAAATGTTACTTCTGCCGCTCCTCCTTTGTGTCAGGCTGGGGCCTGTAGAGTCCTGCCAGCCCTGGGCCTGGCTGGTGCCCCGCCTTCAGGCCCCGCGTCTGCGTGGGCATGTCTGGGGGCAGCTGGGAACATGGGCCTCTAGCCAGAGATGACTGCAGCCGGCGCTCATGGGGCTGGGCCCATTTCCTGGGGCCCCGTGAGGAAGAAGCACTCAGGACAAGGAGAAGAGGAGCCCGTGGGAGGCGGGACGGGCTGGATGAGCAGGAATGGCGGGGAGGAAGGCTTTCGGCAGGCAGGAAGGCAGGAGCTGTGAACTCCCACATCACTGTTTGTTCCCCACACCCTGATCTTCCCCGGTGAGCTGGAAAGGCCAAGGCTGCCAGCTGGCCTCCGCTGGGACAGACGGCTCCCCTTCTAGAGTTTACGGAGGGCTCTCGCGGCCAGATCCTAGCGCCCACCCCCGGGGGACACACAGAAGCCCTTCGAATACATCCCCAGACCCTGCTGTATGCCAGAGGCTTCCTCACCCCCCACATCTCAATCCTCTGACACTCTTGCATGCAGGACTTGATTACCTTAAAGAATTTCAAACTGAGGCTTAGTTCAACAACTCGCTCAAGGCCACAGTCAGCAGCAGGACTCAGTCTCTTTTGGTCTAAGTCTGGCGATCTTTTCCCTGCTCTTCCGGGACCCCGATCAGGTTTCCCGTTGCTGCCTGAGTAGCATTGTCTTGTCTCACTTTCCTGGTAACTACGAAGAAGGGCCACAGAAAGGGGGCCTTAAAATGAGCTGTGGCCGTGAGGGGCTGCTCTGGAAAGGACTGGAGATCCAGATGGAGAAACTGGGGGACGCACTATTATCCCTGCCCCCACCGCACGGTCAGAGCTGGTCACACAGCATGACCCTGTGGTCTCCCCTCCCCTGTCACTCGTGATCGCTGCCCTCTCCCCAGCTGCCTTCTGCTTCCTCTTCCCCCCTGCCATTTCCTCTTTCCCGTCTTGCAGAGCAGACTCATACCTCCCTTGACTTTGGGAAGGGGATCTAACTTAGGGCCCGTGGACAGGTCTGGCATGATCGATGTGGTTGGTCAAGGCCTTATTTCTTCCATGCAAATTGTGCCATCTGAGTGCTGAGGTCGGACTGGAGCCATCCAAAAGTAACGACAAGATGGAGGACAGACATCAGGGCCAGAGTCTCTGAGGGTTCCTGAGTTCGTGTATATGTAGGAGGGGCAATGCAGCTGCTCTCCTCTTGGCCCCGGGCTCATGCCTCAGACCCCTGACACTTTACGCTCTAGACAGCTAGAGACTCTCAAGGGGAAGTCCATCATCTTGCCTTGCTAGGCAGGACCCTGACTCTGCCATCCCCAGGACATTTCCATCTGTGCTATTTGCCTAATGTCAACCACCTCTTCCAAACCCTTCCAACTCTCACGCCCTTCCAGATGTTTCCAACTGCCTAGACAACACATCACGCTGGAGCTGAAGCCATGTCTGTCTGTTCACGATCTCGGGCTTCCCTCACTGAGTCTCCTTGTGCAAGCTTTCTGCTTTCCTAAAAGTGATCATGATCTTATCTGCTCATTTATCCTGCGAAGTCCTGGGCTTCTTGTGGCCACCTGCCAGTCTCTCCCTTTGCTAGAAAGGATCTCGGGACCAAGCTCTGAATCAAGCTGATGTCTCTGAGCGAGCCCTTGAGTCCCAGCTGGAGGAAGGGTGACAAGGAGTGGATTCCTTTGGCTGACTTTCTGCCCCCAGAGGTCTTTGGGCCCGTCCAGCCGTGACCTGCCCCTGTCCCACCCTGTATGCTGAAGGCCTGGCTCTGGGCTCAGCCTTTATCCTTTTCAGATCTGTGGAGTCCCAGAACAGGGACATCCAAAGACAGGCCACCAAGTCCCATTTCCTCAGGGCAAGTGCCAAGCTCACCAGCAGCCACAACCATCCTGTCACCTGGCTACCTGAGCAGCCCTAGAAGTTCACTAGCAGCCCCTGGTTGAGGCACTGGGATGTAGACGGTGGCTGATGAGGGAGCTGAAGTCCTCACTGGCCTTACGGGGTTGGGGGGGTTGTGATTGGAATGTGATTGGAAAGCAAGGAAGCAGGTACTAGGGTTGACTGGGTGGCTACTGGGGAAAGGGTGCTTTTTTCCACCACCTCCTAAGACCAACGTCCCTCTCCTCTGCTGTTTCTTGTTGTTCCGGGTTGTTGTACTGATGGTGGTAACAGGTCCTATGGGGTTTTTGTTTGTTTTTAATCCATTGCTGTTTTGGGACACATCGATTGTCCTTACCTCAGAAGAAGTCCCCGTGCCGAGTCTGGACTGTCCACTAACAGTTAAGAGATAGCTAGTTCGTCTCATTATCTAATTTGGTTACTGAGTAACCAGTGCTGGGTTGGGGGAGACTAGGACTCTAAGAAGTACCACTTCCTGCTAACAAAGATTTAGGGGGTCAGTCACGGAGCAGGTGGCCTCACTTGGAACCCTCTGGGGGCCTCACTGTGCCTGGCCTGTCAGCCCAGCCTGGCCCAGGACCTGGGCTGCCATCCCTCCCCTCACAGCCCCCCAGGGCCCACTGCTCCCTTCCTGGGGCCTCTTGGTTCCAAAGAAAGGGCTGGTGAGAAGGGAAGTGAAACCTGTGGTTCTGCACGCCCCGGAGCCCCTCAGCTATCTTTCCTGTGAGAGGCTCTGAATCTGGCAGCCTTTGGTCAGCTTAGCTCAGCCCTCCGCCTGATCAATGACCCCAGTCCCCTTTGAACGGTGGCACCTTGGCCTTTTTTCTCGGAATAGCAGCCAAAGTGGAATGGAATGGAAAAAGGACTGTGGAATGGGAAGTGGACTGGACGGACAGGAGGCCTGGCTCCAAGGGTGTTGCCCAGCTAGCCGTGGGACTCTGCACTCCTCCGTGCGCCTCTCTGCAGTCCAGGGAGGAAGTCCCAGAAGGCATTGATGCCAGGTCTGACATCACGGCACGCCTGAGGGCCTCCTGCCCCACCCCCCACAACCCCCTAGATTCATGACTCTTCTGCTCTCTTGGGTGTCAGCTTTTTTCCTGGAGGTTGAGGTCAGAGCAGAAGGAAAGGGCAGGCCGGGCTCCTGGAGGAGGGCAGGGCTGGAATCTCACAGGTCTGGATACTAGTGTGGGCCCCTCCCGACCCTCCTTATCTGCTCCCCAGGGAGCATCTGGGCAGGCCGGGGCAGGCCAGGGTCTCCATCCCACTGCGGGCTCAGAGGTGAAGCCGGGTGGGGGAGGGGAGCGTGTGGGGGGAGAGCAGGGGGAGCTGGGAACTGTGCTAGGCCTCTGGGCCCCTGGTCGGCTCTGACCAGCTCCCGGGAGTGCTTCCCGGGCAACACCAGGCTCTGTGGCTGACAAGGGTCTTCCTCACTGCTAGGAGAACAGTCAGAGCTGGGAGCCTCAGCGGGGCCTCAGGGATCTGTCAGATGCAGAGGAAATCGGATTTGTCTCCACAGTCAGTGGCTGCATCCATGTAGCTAGCGGCCATGCTGGTTCGGCTGAGCTCCGGGGGGGGGGCCTTAAAGATGGTCCAGCAGGGACCTGGGGACTAGGGGGAGAGTCCTATTGTGTTCACCTGTCTTTGAGATAGACAGGCTTGGTGTTCTCATCCACGTGCCACTGCTGAGGAAACCAGAGGGGAAAAGATGGAGGGACTTGCGTTCGGTTCCCCAGTACACCAGAGGCAGCCGGCAAAGAACTTAGCTTCCCCCCCCCCCAGTGCTTCCCAGACAGGGCACTGGACTGGCTATCTGTGGGGCCATTGTTTCCTCCCAGCCATTCCTCTTTGAGGAAGGCCAGCTGGACACCCTCTTCGAATCCCCTCAGAGAATGGGTTAGGTTAGGTTCTACAAGTCCCCGAACTAGGAGGCATGGGCCATATGCCTGTGGCTGGGACCTGGAAAACATGGCTGCCACTAAGCTTTCTGATGTTGGTCACTGTGACAGTCCCTCAGAGTGACCCCCCATTCCCTGGAGAACTCAAGTCCCTGGAGGACCTCTGTGACCCACCCATGTGTCCCTGGGAACTGGTGGCCAGGGGGCCCTGTTTGCTGTAGAGGAGCATACAATCCAGACCAAATAGTTGGAACTTCGTTCTCAACAGCATGGAGGGCGGCTGGAAAATGTTAAGCCCGGTAACGGGTGGGTGTGTGAGGGTGTGTGACTTGGTTCTCTTGAGAAAATGCACCATGAGGTTGTGGAGAGAGGGGAGTCAGAGAACGGGTAGGAAGCTCAAGTCGGGGTTCTCTGAAGGTTCTCAAGAAGGGGCCTAAGAGCCCATCCTAAATCCAGGCTCTTCTGAAATTAGGGGGCAGTGAGTTTGGGTTTGAAGGCAGTTCCCTAAAGAGGGCAGAGTATCCTACCCCTTAGGTTCATGGAGCTGAGAATGGAAAGAGCTCCAGGGCCCCTTCTCCTCTTGTCTACTCTTCTCCATGAGATCTCAAATAACCCAAGGCTCTGGATCTTTCCTAAAGCCTGCCCCTTCCTCCTGGGTTGTGGGCCCTTTTTGAGGTCTATTTTCCATGTACTGGAAGGAAACCCCTGGCTGCTGGCTGCTGACTCATGTTGGCTGATGCTCTCCTGGGGAAGCAGACACTGACTCAGGAGGATGTCGAGGCCCTTCCGCCAGACCCCCAAAGAAGGGCAGGGCCCGGGCGTGGGGTGCACGCTTGAGGGGTGCCTGGCTGAACTGTTCTTTCCATCCCAGGCCGGTCCTTGGGATGAGAAGTGGGGGAAGGAGAGGGCACATGTGATGTGTGAGCCACAGATGGAAAGAATGAGCCTTCTGTCCAGTGGGATGGACCAGACTGGACCTGGGAAGAGGATGTGGATTCTGGCCCCGGCTTCTCCACTGTTGCTACATTTCCAGAGGTGTCTGGGCTCTGCTCTTCCTGGGCTGCAGCCACTGCTAGGCCTACTGTATTCAAAGTTTAAGAGGAGTCGTGAGCTCACTTTAGAGACAAGCCATGGCAGCCTCCCACCTGCTCCCACCATTAAAACCATTGCTGATATTTTTAAAAACAATTCTACTTGGTTGCTCTCCTATCTCAGCAGTGTACCTAGACACACACAGGGGCTTCCTGACCTTAGTGAGGTCACAGGACAAGAGAGGTGATGGGAGATGACAGGAGCAGTCTGGGGGAGAGGGGTGCATAATTTGTGTAGTCTAGGGGGCTGGGCCAGCTCTGCTGGAAGGCCACAGGAGTCGGGACCAGAGAGATTGGGCTCTCTGAGTGCGCTGGCCTCTGGGCATCTGTTCCTACCCTCCCCTTGGCCTCTGTCCCAAGGACCTTGTGTCCGGTTGGACCCTGAGCTAGAGCGTCAGCAGTGTGGAGGCCCTGGGGTCGCCAGAGCGGGTCCCGAGGGACACTGCACCCGAGCTCCCAGCCACAGCTGACTTCCCACTAACCCAGACGCCCGTCTCTCCCTGCAGGTTCCGAGGCTTCATCCTGGTGCTGACCTTCTTCATCTACACCTGTTATCACATGTCCAGGAAGCCCATCAGTGTTGTCAAGGTGAGGCTGGCCTGGGGGTGAGAAAGAATGCAGGAGATGCTGAGCTCCCGCAGAAATCAACTCTAGTAGAATGGTCTGGAAATTATTCCCTAACTGGAGTCACGGAGATAAACGGCTTTCACATGGCCAACCCTTACTTTTAGTAGTTATTCTTCTTAGAAATCTTTCCATAGGTGCTCCTTTGGACAGCAGTGTTAACAGGCTGTGGCAGGAACGGGAGGGCAGGGACCCCAGGCTGTATGGGCTCTGCTCAGACTCACCTTGCCCTTCACGGAGGGTCTGACACGGCCCCTTGTCCCTATGGCAGTCCCTAAGGAGGAGCTGCCACAGGAAGGCTCACACTGTCCATGGTGCTGGCCACAGTCCTGGCGTGGTTGGGGAGGGAGACGGTTTGCTCGGCTCTGGGCCGAGCGGGCTCTGACGCCGGGAGGTGAGCCCCAACCTGTGCACCCTCTCGCCTCTTCAGAGCCGTCTGCACCAGAACTGCTCGGAGCTGATCAAGCCCATCAACGACAGCCACAGTCTCAATGACACGACGTGGTGTGACTGGGCTCCATTCGGTAGGAAGGGGGCACGCTGCTCTTGCGGCAGGAAGAGGTTGTCTGGGGCCGAAAAGGGTTTCCTTTAAGGGCCCCCAAGCACCAGCTCTCTGTCTCTTCCCTCTGTTTCCAGATAAGAACAATTACAAGGAGTTACTGGGGGCCGTGGACAATGCCTTCCTTGTGGCCTACGCCATCGGCATGTTCATCAGGTAGGGGATGGGCCAAGCCTGTGACTGTCCCAGAGTGGGGGGCCCCAGAGCTGAGGGTTCCCCCAGGTGGATGGGAGGCAAAGACGTGGGCACGCACCACCAGTGCCTGGCCATTCTCCTTCCCTTCCCGCGGTCACCTGGCCAACTCCTTCACCTGGCAGACTCCCGTTTTCTGTAGCTTCTTCTCCTGGAAAGCGTTTCCTCCAAGGTTACTCTCGCAGATGACAGTGGCAGTGGGATGGCTGGAATATGGGTTTTTTTCCTGAACTGGGATCCTTCATGGGTAGCCGTGGACACAGACATGGCTAGGAAAACCGCCAGCCTCTCCTAGGCCTAAATTAGCCGAGCAAGCATGGCTTTGGCATAGTGAGCCTGCTGTCTGGTGCCAGGAACCAAACTGCCTTCCAATGGCTCACAGCCTAACAGAGGGGCCTGCTTCATAGCTGGTTCCAAACCAGTGTGGTGGCTTGGTGACCAAGGATGGCGGTGCCACGCTCACTCGGAGGAGAGGCGCAGGCCATGGGACTGAGAGGGGAAGGAGGAGGGAGAGTTCAGTCATAGAGTGCTGAGCTGCACATGTTTGGGGAGCAACCAAGTGAAGATGTCCGGAAGGCATCTGCGTGTGACCCCACAGTGGGAAAGGTCAGAATGGAAGTTACCCAGTTGGAGCCATGTAACTTGTAGGCAGTCGTCGGAGCCATAAATTTGGTGCAAGGGACTGCGCCCCAGGGAAAGTCTGAGAGAAGGAGTGGTCAGCCAAGGGCAGAGGGGTGAGAAGGCCAAGGGGAGAACATTTCAAGGAGCTTGCTCAGCAGTGGCAACTGAGGCAGCAAAGTCCAGTGAGTGGAGACCCAAGGGCCTCTCTGGCAGGTGGCAGGCAGCACAGAAGTCATTGGTGGTCACCTGGGCCAGAGGCGGCTCAGGGGTGCCGGGAGGAGGCAGCTCGTGATTAACCACAGATCCAACTCTCTTCTCCAGTGGAATTTTTGGGGAGCGGCTCCCCCTCCGTTACTACCTTTCAGCTGGAATGTTGCTCAGCGGCCTTTTTACCTCACTCTTTGGCCTCGGATATTTCTGGAACATCCATGTGCTCTGGTACTTTGTGCTTATCCAGGTATGAGCCCCTGTCTTGCACTCAGACCTCTGCTCCACCGTGGGGAGGGTTGCGGAGGCTGCTAGTGTTGTGGTTGGTTGGGGTTGGTGGGGGCTGGGGAGGGCCCCGCAGCCCGGGAGGGGGCAGAGTGAGTCTGCAGCATGGCCCAGGACTGTCCCACTCATCTCCTGTCTCCCCGCAGATCTGTAACGGACTTGTCCAGACCACCGGCTGGCCCTCTGTGGTGACCTGCGTTGGCAACTGGTTCGGGAAGGGAAAGTGAGTGTGGGGAGGGAAGAGGAGTGGGAGGTAGGCAGGGAGGGCTGTGGGGAGTGAGGAGGTCTCTCATGGCCCCTAGTATAATTTCAGGGTGAAAGGTTAGAAACTTACGTCTGTCTTGCTGATTTTCACATTTAGTTCAATGTTTTAGTGGCTGAAAAGCATTACTGATTTTTCTCATGGATAAGGTTTTAGTCCACAAAACAGGCCACCCTTGTTACTCTTTTTCCTCATAATTGACTAATTTCCATTTTGCATGAAGACAAAAATGAAACCTATAAAACATTATTGTTGTTATTATTATTATTATTATTTTGTACTTGAACTGGCTTTTGTGCAAAAAAAAAAAAAAAATTTGCTTTAGAGTGGGGTTTCTCCAGCTCAGCCCTACTAGACATTTGGGGCTGGTCACTCTTTGCCATGGGGCGACCTTACACACGGCGGGATGTTTAGCAGCATCTACCAGCTAGATGCCAGAAGCATACCCAGAGCTGGGACAGTTAAAAACCCCCAGACACTGCCTGTGTCCCCTGGAGGCGGGGTGGCCTTGCTTGAGGACCCAGATTTGGAGTAGCAGCCCCAGGACAAGAGGGAAGAGAGGAGTGGGGGCCGGAAGTGCTCAGGGTGGGGGGAGCTCCATCTGGGAGGCCTGTGTGAGCTGGCTCCAGTCACTGGCTGAGGGGAGCAGGACCCCCGGCCTTGGCTAACCCTTGCTTGGCACCTGGCAAGCCCTTCCCCACCTCCCGCCATGCTGTCTTTGGGCCTGGAGGCTGGAGGCAGCCAGCTGTTTGCACTTGGCCAGGGTGGGGGTGATGAGCCCTGTGCTTCTGTTTTGACTTTCTTTTACTCTTCTCCCCTGTCTTTCCTGATCCTGCCCCCCTTCCCTCCAGGCGGGGGCTCATCATGGGCATCTGGAACTCACACACATCCGTGGGCAACATCCTGGGCTCCCTGATCGCTGGCGTCTGGGTGAATGAGCACTGGGGCCTGTCCTTCGTGGTGCCAGGCATCATCACCGCTGCCATGGGCATCCTCACCTTCCTCTTTCTCATTGAATGTGAGTGGCCCCCGCCCTCCTTGTGGGGCTCAGAACTGAGCCTCCCCCTTCTCCTCCTAGGGCCCGGGGGAAGGCAGCTGGCCCTGGGGGAGGACTACTGGTATGTGTGTGGCCTGGGACTAGCCGCCTCTCTGGGCTTCGGCCGTTTTTCTTTTTTCACTTGTAAAAGATGAAGAGGGAGATGAACAGCCTTTCCTTGCTATTGGTTCAGGGCTGGGGGGCTGAGCAGTTGGCCTGTGGTTGCCTGGCAAGTACTGGCTCTGATGTTTGAGCGGGGGGGAGTGGGAGGTGATGGGACCCTCGTCACTTGCTGTCCTCTTCCCCCTTCTCCGATGGCCTTGGGAGACAGCTCAGCCCGCCCTTGTGGCCACTTGGTAGCCAGAGAATGGGGACCCACAAGGCCTTAGTGACACCAGTGGCGTTAGGGGAGCCAGGCCTGGAAGGTGCCTCCCGAGCCCGGCTTCCAGGCTCCCTCTTGCTGGGAAGTAGACTGGCCTTTAACTTGGCGGCTGGGGGCGGGGCCTGCTGGGAGGCTTCTTAGAAGGTTGGGTTTTTCTTTCAGACCCAGAAGATGTGGACTGTGCGGCTCCCCAGCACCACACTAGTGTGAGCCTCCCCGCCTGTGACTCCATCCACGGGGGAAGGTCCCAGAGAGGACTGGGGGGTGGTGGGGCATGTGCGCCCACAGTTAGCTCACAGGCTCAGTGTCAGGACCTCAGGGTGTCTCCATGACAGCCTGATGGGGCCTGGTGGGACATTCGTTCAGTCGCCGAGGGGGGCGTGGACCTCCTCCAGCTTGGGAGCCTCTGCCTGCTGCTTGGGTTGTCCCCCCAGCCGGCGGGCGGTGGCCTCTGGCTGTGCTCCCAGCCGGGGCTCCTCTCTGTTCAGGATGGGCTGGAAGAGAACCCGGACAGCCCCGAGGACCTAGGGAACGGTCCCTGCACCAACAAGGAGAGCAGCCTGGAGAGCGGGGCCAGGTGCTCCAAGGAGCCAAGGGCACAGCCTGCGGCCATCAGCTTCCTGGGGGCACTCCGCATCCCGGTGAGAAGTCCATGGCCTGGAGGGCAGCACGGGGCTCTCTGGATGTCCCCACTGGCTGTTGGGAGAAGGGGGGACTCGGGGGGCCCTAGGGCTCTGTGTGAGGTGTGAGGGTGAGGAGCCAGCTCGGGGAGGGTAACACAGGAGGGTGGTCCTCACACAGCCTTTGAACAAGACTGGAGATGTGCTTTGTGCAGTAGTTCGGGGGGGAGGGGGGTGGCTGCTGAGTTCCTCCTGGGGCTACCCCTGGCCCCGGGCGTTCTGGCATGCCTCTCCGACACCCTCTGTCATGCTCCGTAGGGTGTGGTGGAGTTCTCCTTGTGTCTGCTCTTTGCCAAGCTGGTCAGCTACACCTTCCTCTACTGGCTGCCTCTCTACATCTTCAACGTGGGTGAGGACAAGGGGCAGAGGGGCGGGAGGGCTCTCTGAGGAGGCACGTGATGCACAGGATTCCAGAACACCATTGGGATGTCCGTGCACCCTCTCCTAGGGCAAAGGGAGACTTTTGAAATGTATTTTTCCATTGGCAGTTAGACCTCATACATTACCTCAGAGACCCTGATTCCAGACACCTTTCTTCCCTCGGACCAGAGTTGGGGGTTCGGAACTCAGAGATGTGCTCTGTCATCCTTCCTGACTTCCTCTCCAGCCCTTGTGTGTAGGAGAACCCACCTCTATCCAGCTGGCTTGGCTCACAGATGAGAGGGGCTGGATGGTTCGGGGACAGGTCTGCCTTTGAATGCCAACCCACCCCCCCAACACACACACACATACAGGAAGAGGGCCCGGTGAGCTGCCCCACTGCCTGAAGCCTGAAGTTAGCACCGCTCTCCTCTCCCCAAGGACTGCCGGGAACCTCCCAGGACTGACATCTGGTGCCTGGGTCAACAGCACTGCCCTCCTTCGGGGCCCGCTCTAGCCCGCCCCTGCCCTCAGAGCTCTGCCAGGGCCCAGGCCCTCTGCCCCTCAGCTGTGCTGCTCCCTCCAAGCCCTGTGGGAGGACCCCAAAGGCTGCTTTGCAAGCGCTGTACTTGCTCTGAATACGATGCCCTGGGGCTTATGCAAGGCCAAATCCCAGCCCCTGACTTGACCAACAGCCCCATCGTCATCGGGCCTCTCTCAAAGAGGGAGCGACGCACCAGGACAGCTCTTGGTTTTGTGGCCTTGGTGCCAGCTTCAGAGTAGGAGTCAACCTTGAGGCTTAGGCTACAATTCCAGCTTCTGGATCTTGTTCTTTCTAATCCAAGGACAAGACCTGGGACCTGAGGTCCCCATTTGCCTGTGAGTCTCCTTCCTGGCTCTGTGTATTAGCAGAGACCTCCCATGGATATGGAGCCTCCTAGTGGAGACTGGCTGGAAGTTCAGGAGCAGAGCACAACTAGGGCTGGTGAGACCAGTGGTGTCCCCCCCCCCCTCCCCCGGGCCAAGGTGGCCTAGTCTGACAGGGTTCTCCTGGGCCAGACCCCAGTGCTTTCAGGGGAAGGCTTTTCTGAGAGGTCAGAGCCAGCCTGCAAGGGGAGAAAAAATACAGGATGGGGTGTAGGGGGAGACTGCTGCAAATTTACTTGTGACTCTGGCCAACGACTTCCCATGGGTCCTCACTCCTTCCTCTGAAACCGGAGGCAATGGGACTGGGTCAAGTGCTCTGTAGGGCTTTTTCTGGCCGTGGCACTCCATGTCGCCGGCTCAGCCCCGCTCTGACGATATATTTGTGTTTTCCACAGCTCACTTTAGCGCCAAACAGGCTGGGGACCTGTCGACCCTCTTCGATGTTGGTGGCATCATGGGTGAGGCTCTGCCCTATTCTGCCCTGGGCAGTATTCCCCTATTCCCCCTTTGTCTTATGGGGGGTGCAGAAGGAAGAGACAGGTCCAATGTGATGTGAACTGGGCAGGTGGCATCAGAGAAAAAAGGGCTCCTACACAGCTGGGGAGACCTCAGAAAGTTGACCCTCGTGTTTGATCTTCCCATAAAAGCAGTGGGTGCGGGGAGGGCTTCAGAGGGAGAAGTTCTACTGGTTCTGGATGCCCATGCCCAGGCTAGCATTGGGTGGAGCGATGGGACAAAGCGATGGGGCAAGGCTTGGGGTGCCGCATTAGTGGGCGGCTGTGCTCCCACCGGGAGCAGCTGGGTGTGAGTTGGTCTGTATTCTAGGCGGCATCATGGCGGGGCTCATCTCCGACCACACCAACGGCAGGGCCACCACCTGCTGTGTCATGCTGATCTTGGCTGCCCCCATGGTGCGTATAACCTCAAGAGCAGAGCGCACGTGCTCACGTGTACCTGTGCGGGCTGTTGCAATGTGTGCGCACCTGGGTGTGGATGCCCACGCCTATCTCTTTGCGTGCATGCACGACCGTGTGCACGTCGGGGGAGGAGAAGCTGGGGGTGGCACAGTCTCCGAGATTCAGACTGAGGATTTTGGAAAGGGGTTAGCAAGGATTTGGCCTTGGTGGAGAAGAGGGAGGCCAGCAGCTGAACTTCCTAACTCAGGAAAGAATAGGAAATTCAGGTTGGGTGTGAGAGAAGCCTTTTTGAGAAACAGGAAACAACAGATTTCTACATCTTAGACCCTCCATCCCAGGAACCATTAAAGACCAAGAGTTCTGGAGTAAGGTGGACCTCTGGGGTTCCCTGGGAGGAGAGGGTGTGCCAGACTCCCAGTCTAACCCACACAGCCCATGGGGAGGCCTGGGTGTGACCCTGCCTCTCCCTTTTCCTCTCTCAGATGTTCCTGTATAACAACATTGGTCAGAATGGGATTACCAACTCTATAGGTGAGGGGGTGGCTGCAAGTCGAGCAGCGCAGAGGAAAAGCATTGCCTTGGGGTCCCCAGGAAGCCACTTGGGGGCATTGGTGGGAGGCACAGGGAAGTGGAGGCTCTTGGCCTGACACCTGGGGGTTTCACCTGCTTTGGGGCTAAGGCGGGAGGAGGCCTCTCATCCCTAACGAGCTGTCTCCGTCACTGCCTCAGTAATGCTGATCATTTGTGGGGCTCTGGTCAATGGTCCTTACGCACTCATCACCACCGCTGTTTCTGCTGACCTGGTAAGCAGGCTGCCTCCCTGGGGCGAGGGAGGACTCTGGGAGCTTGGTCAGGGCCTGGGCACATCTCTAGGTCCAATATCCCACATTCCCACCTCCTCGCTGGTGCACAGAGATCCTGGTGTAGGATAGCCTTAAAGTCCTCCAGAGTCTGCCATCACTGCCCCCCCACCCTCAACTCCAAGCCCCAGTTGCTGCCTTGCCCCAGGTTAGCCCTATCCTGGTCCTGGTGCTGCCTCTCTGGTTGGCCTCTCCATGCTGTTCTCTCTCCCCAGGGAACTCACGAGAGCCTGAAGGGCAATGCAAAAGCACTCTCCACCGTCACGGCCATCATCGACGGCACTGGGTCCATAGGTCTGTGACTCTAGTTTCTGGCCCTTGGCAGCTGAGCCCTGAGCCTTGTGTTGAGCACACTTCTTGGAATGCTGCTCTTGGGTGGGCGGGCTGCTTAGGGCCCGTTGTCGGGTGCCCCTCTCTGATGTTGTGTTCTGCGCAGGTGCGGCTCTGGGGCCTCTGCTGGCTGGACTGATTTCCCCCACAGGCTGGAACAACGTCTTCTATATGCTCATCTCTGCTGATGTTCTGGCCTGCCTGGTACGTGATCTTGGGGGTACACAGATGGGTAAGGGTGGGGTTGACTCTCCTGTCCTGCCAGGCTGGAATCCTGGAGGTCCAAAGCGTTGACCATGAGGGACTCTGAGAGCAGCTGCCTGACACTCAGAACCCCTTTCCTTCCATGGGTGACCCCCTGCCACATGAAACTGTGTGCCACCACCTTCCTTCCTGCCAGCCACCCCCCCCCCGTCACCTAGCACTGGGGACTAACCGTGTGGTCAAGGCTAATGTCGCCCTCCCCCTCCCTCTGTGCCTCTGACCCCCCACAGCTCCTCTGCCGGTTGGTGTACAAAGAAATCCTTGCCTGGAAGTCATCTTTGAGCAGAGACAGAGGGTGAGTCCCCAGACAGCTGTAGCCCCACCTCCTCAACCCCACTTCTTACGGGAGTGAAAACGTGTTCACTTCTCCGCACCCAGCCTGAGCCTACCTGTGGCACGGACTGGGGCCAGACCCTGGAGGTGCTCCACGCCCCATCCCTCCACCATGCTGATGTGTCCTCTGTTGTCCCCATGTGTCTCCGTAGCTCTAGTCTGGCCCTAACCCACCCGCGGTAGTATTTTCCTCAAGTCCCATGACTTTTGTGAGTATTGTCTTCAAGTCGGTGGCTGACGTGCCCTTCGAGTGGGGCCTGCATGCAAATGCTTTCTCCTCCAGTGTGATTTTTTTTCCAACTTTCTCTTGTTTCTTGGGGGCCAGCTCTGGAGACTCTCCACCCGAGCAGAGCATGGTGCTTGGAAGTGTTTCCTGAGCAGCTCGAGCTGCCACAGGGGTTGGCAGACTCTTTTCCTTCGGGCGAGTGGTAGGGCTTTTTGCTGTACCCCTAGGACAGAGGCGAGATCCAGGGAAATTGTTTTCGCTCTGAACTAAGACTCTGAGCCCTACATGCCTCTTAGAATTCAGAAGCCAGGATCATCTGGCCCCTCGGCCTGGGGTGTACAGAAAAAAGCAACAACCAATCAAAGTCTCTGGGATAAAATTCCGATCAAGCCTCGGTGGCTGGCCTGGTGTGCTCTCTGTCCATTGCCCTGTGGTGGTGGGTGTGGAGGCCGCATGGACAGGGCAGTGGCCGGGGCAGAGCCAGCAAAAGGCTGGGCCGTGTGCTGGTGCTGAGGGAAATGTTCCTCTGGCCTTTCTGGCTCTGCTTCTGAGAGGGAGGTTCTGGCTAATGAGGAGCTGGCCGGAGTGTGGATCTAGTCCTGGATGGTAAACGTGTGCCAACAATCCCCGGGGGTCAGTGGTGACCAGCACAGTAGCCGGGGAAACTCTTCCCCTGAAGGATGGCATCTTCCAGGTTCAGGGGTAGAAAACCTGAGAGCAGGAGGCATAGCAGAGTATCTATCCCGCCTGTCCTGGAGGAGGGAGCAGGGCGACTTGTCCCCTCCCCTTGCCTGCCTTCTTGGGCCCGGCCTGAGGGGAGACTGGGAGGTTAAGAAACGTAGCAGGAAGCGGGGAGAGGAATATTTAGTCAGCATCTGCTCCCTGCCTGGAGTTGAGTCTGCCTTCAGACGCAGCTGCTTACTTGTCAGGCACTGTGAGACATCGGTTCTGTCATCTAGAGTAGAGAGAACAGAGGCTCAGGACAGGGAATGTGACTGAGGCCTTCAGCTGAGCCTCAGTTTGAACCCAGGTGTGTGGGGTCTTGCTTTCCTCTGTACTCTTGCCACCCGGAGCTGGGCGGGCTCTGAGGAAGTCTGGTGCAGGGGGAATGGAGGAGCTTGCTAGGGCAAGGGGACCACTGGGCCTAGAACCAGAAATCCCTGGACGGTCCCGACTTCTCAGCTCACTTGCATTGATAAGACCATGGGCATGGCCTCTGTGCCCCCACATCCTTCTGTGTATAACTGGGGGTGCTCAAACCTAAGCCACAACCACTCGATCAGAGGCTGAGACGGTATGGGATCTGGGATCCCCTTTGTCAAACTGTCAGGTATGGCACCAACATCGCAAAGCTTTCATTATCCTGCTGACTGGCTAATTTGCCACTGAAGGGGAGGAAGGGAGCCCTAATGACAGAACAGGGATGAGAGGCAATTATTAAGAGACCCTACAAACCTGCCTTCCCTGTACCCCTCACTGGGACAGGAGCTTTTAAACCTGTGTGTGTCTTACTTTCTCTTCCCTTGCCTCTCACCCCTCCTGTAGGTATAAAGAGATATGAAGCCCTGATTCGAAGAGAAGCACGGAGGGCCCCAGCTGATTCCCAAAGTGCTCTCCCCCGACCCCCTCATGGGGGCAAGACAATGGAACCCACCACAGACAGGCTGACAGGGCCTCTGAGGGGCTGGGAGGTTCTCCTCGGGAAGGGGCCTGCCAGCAGGAGGACTCACAGCCCTGGGCTCCAGAAGCTGCAAAGCAGAAGGGCTGGGGATCAGAGCTGAGTGGTATCTCCAGCTTGGTAAGGGAAGGATATGCTCAGGCTCTTGCTTGTTCAGATTCCGAGACAGGAGGCAGGGGCTGGACATGGGCCAAGGCCTGGCAAAGGTGTATCTCTCCTTCCCGTGTGGAAAGTGAGCCTCGGTGCTCAGCCTATACCTGTCCGTGGATTTCTGATCCTATTTGAGAGCCACCAAGCCTCGCTTCCTTCCTTTGTCCATAAGCCAGCTTTCTCGTGTATTTCCCATGTCAGAACCTCTTCCACCCTGCATTTGATCCTGACTCCTGACCTGAGTCGATTAAAGTGTTATTACTGTACTCTGTGGGACCAGGACCAGGGAGAGACAAAGGAGGTGCCACTCTTGAGCCCGGGGCTGGGCTTCCCTGGCCCCAGTCTCGTCCCAGCCCTCCATGTCCCCAGGGGAGGAGCACATGTCAGAACAGTGCAGGGAGGGGGGCAGGCCTGACTAAAGCCACAGGGGCCAGTGACCACCGAGTGCTCACTGCACATGAGCCCTGCTCTGGGAACAGAGTAGATGGTGGGCACAGAAGACGGACTTCCGCCCGAGCACAGGCCCCAGGGTGACGAGACTAGCAAGAAGGAAGCTGCCTGGCTCATTCAGGCCACTGTCCCAAGGGCAGTGGCCCGAGCTCTCTGCGGCCTGCCTCCCCTTCCCCTGTGTTCCTGCCTTACTTCTCCTGCCCACCCCACCCCAGAGTGCTGCCTGTCAGGCTAACCCTTGGCATTGTTCCCCAACCTCCGAAGCCTCCCATCAGCACAATACAGATCCTTTTTGCCAGCCGGGCCTATACTCATCCTTGTCAGGGCCTGGCATGGCCGTGCGGGCTGTCACATTCCCAGGCTGAGGCTAGCCACAAGCGGGCCTCCCTAAGGAGATGCTCCTGACCACACCGTGGGGGGCGGGGGCCTGCGGAGCTCAGCAGGAGCTAGAGCCCCACACAAGGTGCAGCTGTGGCATTAACAGGGACGCTGGGGGCCAGGGCAACACTGACACAGTTTGTACACACTGCCCTGGTGACAAACTGACACTCACTCGGATTTGAAAGCAGGTGATGGTCCGGGATCTCTGGGTCGTCGGGTTCCCCCCCGGGGCGGTGCTGCAGGGCATGGCCTTACCTCCAGCTTTCTTGGAGGCTTCTTTCGGTACAGAGGCATCTGAGCGGCTCGCTGAGGAAAGCCACTAGATGGTGCCATCCTCCGCCGGCAGAGCCCGGCGTGGGCCACACACTCTTCCTGCTTCCAGGTGGGGAGCAGAGGGTATGCTCTGTTCACCAACTGTCAGCCTTCTCTCCGTTGCATCGGGTCAGGGTAGGAAGGCTGGGAGACTTCCTCCTGGGGTGGGAGGCTTCATCTGCCCTCGCCTCCCCACTGACTCCCGTGAAGCCTGTGTCCTCCCCTAGAAGGCAGTCCTGACACGACCTGCCTCAGAGGACGGGCATGAAGGGAGCCGAGTCAGTGTTAAGCACAGGCTTCACCATCCCGCAGTCCAGCCTGAACGGACAGGGGCAGGAGGGTGATCCGCGGAGGAAGGGATGTGAAAGGCATCGGAAGAAGAACGAGTGGGACTTGGGCAGGCGGCTAGTTTGATAAGGTAGGGAGGGGACCTGGAAGAGGGAAGACATGGACAGGAACACTGAGCACACCACTCAGAGCGCAGCAGGGGGACCCGGAGAGCGGCAGAATGTGCCCGCTTGTGCCTGGCCAGCCAAGGGATCAGCGTGGTGCTGGCAATGAGCAGAAGGCCCGTGGAGCTCAGCCCCTGGCCTTAGCGATGAGGATGGGGGCTGTGGGTGGGAGTGAGGGGGAGACCGCAAAGGTGGAGGAACCCAGGCCCTGGTCTGTGCCCCTGTGCACTGGTCTCCCAGACCCCAGTTTCCCTGCCCCACCTCCGCTCTGGGCGCTAACTGTTCCCCAGAAGACTGCTACCTGCCTTCTCTCTGGGCCTCAGCACTCACTTGGGGCTAATGCAGGAGCATTACGTTAATTAGTTATTCATTTAATTTAACTTCACATTTGGTCTCAATTAAGCTTAAAGTGTTCTTCCTTATAGATGTTACAATAGCACTTGTAATTAAAAAGCAATAACTCTTTGCATTTCTCCTTTAGAGAGCCATTGGGAGGCTGGGGTGGTGTGCAGTTGTGGTGGGAGGGGTGGAGAGGAGAGAAGTAATGAAAAGAGAGGGAACCCTTGGTACTCTGAGGCTTTCAGCAAGGCTGAAGTTGGGGCGAAGGAGACTCAGCATGTCATAGGGACTGGAGAGTGCTCTTGGGGATAAAGCCATGAGGTGGGGAGAAGATGGAAACTGGAGGGCGGAAGGAAACAAGACTTAGACTCGGAGGATGGGGCCGTAGATCCTATGGTGGGCAGAATAACACCCTCTCCCCCAAAGATGTCTACATCCTAAACCCAGGACCCGTGAATATGTTAACCGCAGATGTGATTAAGTACCATGAGATGGGGAGACTACCCTGGGTGGTCAGTGTGGGCCCAGTGTAATCACAAGGCTCCTTACAAATCAAAAAGGGAGGCAAGAGTGTCAGTAGTCAACTTAGAAGATGGGGATCTGAAGACAGAGGAAGGGTACACTAGCTCAGCCAACAATCCACAAGGACAGCCTCTAGAAACCAGAAAAAGAAAGGAAATGGGATTCTCCCCTAGAGCCTCCAGAACCTTTATATGAGCCTCGTGAAACCTACTGATTTGTGACCTCCCAAACTGTAAGAAATCTGTATTGTTCCAAACCACTAATTCGGTCGTATTTCATTACTACAACAATAGGAAGTTATTACCTGTTCCTCAGTGTAGACCTGGGGAAAAATCATTTGGAAGACTGAAAAACCAAAGAGATCCCCAAAGATTAAAAGGAAACATGGAGGGAATGGCTATGTAACACTGAGGTCCAGGGAAATGCTGCCTCTGTGACTTCCCCAAGTTCTCTGAGGGTAATGCCTGATACATTCTTTACAATACCCAGCATGGTGATGGAAGCCAGAAAAAAGTAACTTTCTCATTCTGTGCATGGTGTTGGGCCCTGATTTTGATCCCTACTGTCCTTTTCTTAGGTCCCAGGAACCTGAGACAAGAAGATGTGTGCTGGGGTGGGGTGGGGGGCTGGAAGCTTTTTTTCCTGGAGTAAACAGCAACTGCCAATAATATGATCTGTTAGAAACAGAGACCAAGAAACAAATACATTCTTGGTTTGTGGCTTTGGTTCCCCCACTGGCACCACTGAAAACCAACCCAAGTATCAAACATTCCAGGTGGACAGCGCTTAAGAGAGAGACAGCTGGGTATGTCCTGGAAAACAGCTTCTGGGCAGCCCCACTCTGTCTCTCAGCCAGGGAGGAGCCAAAGTCCACCAGGCAAAGACCCACCAAAAACACACGGTGGATGAGTGCCGGTGTCTTTGAGGTCCCACGTGGCTTTTAACTGCTTTGTCTCGGACTCTTGCCCAATCCTGATTCTGGGTTTTCTGTTCGACTCAGCTGCAGCTTTTGCTATTTCTATCAACAGGATTTATATTGCTTGACCTTGGTCCCTTGTTTTTCTTTCTTTCTTTTTTTAATGGAGCAACACAGTAAAATACTAAATAATATAAATAATAATAAAAGTACATAGAAGCTTAGGCTGGAGCCAAACCACCTGACTTTAAACCCTGACTCCTGTTTAACCCTGAGCTGAATGACCTCAAGCAAATCACCCCTTCCCGATCCGTGAAATGGGGATATTAAGAGCACTGACTTCATATGGTTGCTTATGATGATTATTTAATATTTACAAAGCATTTAGGAAAATTCTTAGAACATGTTTGGTAAATATAATAAAAACTGATTTCAGCCTGTGAGGAACAGAATATTTCCAAGTATTGGGATGGAAATAGAGATTAAAGATCGAATCCTATGAGCTACAAAAACTCTTTCCATCCCTGAGTTCCTGTGCTCCTGTGAGGATGAATCCCACATCTGGAAACTTGTTCCTACATACCAACAGCCAGATACTTAAAGGTTTAAGACAAGCAGTTATGACAAAATATTTATTATTTGTACTCTAGGTGCTAATTAAAAATTCTGTAATGGAAAATTCTTAACCTTTTTAAAGATATGGGTTAGGGAAAGGACAGGAGACCAATAGCTATAAAAAATATTAGCCAATATAGAAATAAGGAGTTGCTTGCAAGCCAAAAATGATCCTTAAACTATCTGAGTGAGAGGTCAGGAATCCTGATGTCAGGTTTGAGCCCCATTATTAACTTGGGAAACTTTGAAAATCTTTTCTGCTCTCTGCCTCTTTCTCTTCCATAAAATAATTGCGGCAGGTTTCTTTACACTTTGAAAAAAATCAAAGTAAAATAAAAATGCTTCAACTGAAGCGGCAGTGAGATAGAGTTGATGGAAGAGTTGTTGTCTTAGAGAACAGAAGGAGAAATGGATCACCGTGCGTTAGGATGAAGTGAACGGCTGCATACACAGTACAAAGCATGAACAAATGGCTACGCATTTCCTAGGACCTGAACGATGGTATAATAATTCTGATGAATTTTTAGATTAAATAGCTCATACAGCATGTCACCAAAGAATGTCAGCTTTACTTCCATTTTTATATATGAGAAATTTAAGGAACTTGTCGAAAAATTACCTACTATGTGTGTGTTTTGCTGGCTTGAGGGACTTTCTAAACTATAACACGCAGCGCCACCTAGCGGACCGGGCCAACGACTCCGTTGTGGGGTTAGTGCCTGCTAATGGAGCTTTAGTCAGGTTTTACCAGGCTCTCAAACCACCTGTTTTTCATGGTGCACTCTTGATTTACTCTCCCTCTCCACCTTGTAAAGAGTGGGGATCACCACAGTCTCTCTGCTACAGGATCCCCTCTGGGTAAGGCAGAGTAGAGCACCGCGTGCTTGAAGGCCACTGACCAAAGAATGATGAATGGGGCACTCCGATGACCTCTAAGCCCCGCCTCCAGGAAGGCGGTGAGCCCAAGGGGCGCCATATTAAACACCGTAGGCGTGCCCCGTGTAGAGCTCTCAGTAAATTCATTTTTTAGCCTTCTGCTTCTTATCCCACCCTTGTGGGGGTGTTTTAGGGGTTGGCCATGACTGCTTAGAGTATGAAGGTAGAGGGTAATCTATCAGTCATTCCCCACAGCTGGTCGATATGGACTGGGAATCTACAGAAGGCAGGCCTTGCTAAAATACTTAATAGAAAGTGTATTTTTTGCCCTTAACACACAAACCTGCCATTTACGTATCTGTGTAAAACACACACACACACGCGTGCATGCTTTAGAAAGCTGTGGTGTTTTAGTTTCCAACCTTAATACATTTTTCTCCATGTAAGTAGTCACCCAAAACTTCATAGCTATTATCCATTGATCTCATAGTTGGACACCTTTGTTGGGGAATAAAAAAGATGGATTCAAGGTCAGAACCTACAAGTTTTCCCAGACTTGCTCTGTCAGCAACTCTCTCAGGAGGAGACAAATGGCTGTCTGTGCTTGTTAGAGGAGTCCAGGCTCCACTTGGCTGGCTCAACATCTCCACACAGCTTCAGTGCACCTGGAAGCTTCAGTGCAAGTTCTAGAGAAGAGCACCTAGTCTGACCGCCTGCTTGCTCCGCTTTCCCTACGTGTCTGCATTCTCCTTTCTCCCCTCCAATCTGCTCGGAGGTATGTTTCTTCTTTCAGTTCTCACCTGCGGGCCCTAGGCCAGATGAAGAGACTAGTCCTTTAAAGTGTTCTGTCACAAAGCCTTATCTGCAAAGGTTTTCCAAACTGAATGGGATAGAGACAGTTCAAGTGTAAAAATAAATACACCTGGCCCTCACCAGTCCATGACTCCCCAGAGTCACCCATTCTCTCCTCTTTTAATTTAGAGCTTAGCCCCCACTGCGGTATCATCTCTACACTGACAACAGGATCCAGGACAGAAAGGGAAGGAGACGTGGCCCTGAATTCCTCGAGCTCTCAGTCAAAGCTCCACAAAGCTCAGTGTGTTTTCTTTCTAGTCAGAGACAGACCTCAGGGTCTGCCACACCTGGTCGCATACACTGGCTGTTGCATGACACCTGGGCAAGTCAGCTCATCTCTTTAAGCCTTACTTTTTTCTATTTTAAAACCAGATTATAATAAACATATTGTAAAATTTAAAGACATTGAATTACAAGGGAACTAGTCTACTGTTGGCCTATAACACATGCTCAAAGTTCTCTTTCCATCCTGTTTTCTGGTTCTCCATTTTAAGCCAGAATATCCTTCTTCATTTAGTTCTAGGGAGTTAGGAAGAGACTTCTGAAGTGGAACCAGCCCAGGGGCTCTCCATTTAATAATAAATTTTGGTTGGCAGGGGATCTCACACAGGTATAAAGTTTTTTCTAACCCTAGGAATGTACATTTCTCACCAGCTTTGGAGAAAAGGCTACAAAGCTAAAAAGAAATGATCATAACCCAAAGTGGACTCTTATCACAATTAAATAAGGCACACGAAGGCTACCAAATTCAGAAAGAATCCAGAGATCTATAGCAGCAAGACAAACAACCAACACTTCCGTATCCTTCCTTTAATCCCCAAGTAAATTTGAAATATAGAATATAGATTGAGAAAGCTGTGGCCAAGAGTCTGAAGTGAAAGCCAGTCCTTTGGTTGTTTATTGCTTTACTAGAGCAGAGGGAAGGTATACCTGTTGCCTGTACAGGTTCTGTGGCGCCATATGCACATGGTCAACAACCAACACTTGGGTAAGTCTTCCAACTCATCACATTAAAATAAGCTTTTTAACTTCAAGTGCCTTTCCTTTCCAAATGATCCCACCCTTGTAACTAAGAATCTTGGGTATTATCAAAAAAATGAGATTCTTCCGTCTCTTGGACAGTAGAAGCCAAAGTGCTCCTTTTCCCCAAATGCACTTACTGATGTCTTGGTTGAAACTCTACTGGAAGTAGATCCCTGTTACTTCTTCCCTTTCAAAACAGATAGAAAACCCGAGGAACGAGTGTGAAGAAGACCACAACATTCCTCTGAAGATGGTGGGAGTCATCACCGCAGGGCCAATTTTGCAACCCCATTTGTGGAAGCCAGGTTTCAAGGGATTTGTCCTAGTTGTGCATGGATATTTCTCTGACCTTAAGGCATGACGGCTGTCCAAACAAGGCTCTGAACAGTACCTTTCTGCTCACCGGTGACATCAAACGTGAAGGACAGAACAGGGTCCTGGTTTTCCTGAACAGTACTCAGTAGGACCGCAGTGGTTTGGCGTAGATTGGCTCTAGGACATGATGAATGAGAACCAAAAAGAGGCCTCCAAGGAAGACAGCAGTGAGGAAAGCCAGTAGGACATAGCGGCCAATGAAAAAGGAATCCACAATCTGTGGAGAGAAACATTAAAAATGAAATGACGGTCACTCCAGCGCCCTGCTTGTGCTCATCTGAAACCTTTGATGAATGAGCCCAGTATCTGTTTGCATTTGTGACTTCCAGTAACATTCTGCTCTGAGTCTCCTCTGTGAACCATTAGGAAAGAACCTTAACTCTCTGTGCCAGAAACACAAGAAAAAGACAAGATTAATGAGGTACAGGGAAAAATATGGCTCAATTTAAGAGGAGGTTCACGAACACTGTGAAGACCTTGGATGAGCTCTTTTATGTTCTGAAATCAGTTATCTGAAAGAGTTCATGAGAAGCTTGCTTGCTTGGTCTTAGAAAAGCTTGTTTTTGTTGTTAAATTTTTTGTTATGGAGAACTTTAAATGCATATAAAAAGATGATAGTATATTAACCCCCATATATCCAAGATCAAGCCCCCAAATCATTAACCCACTGCTGATTCAGGAGAGTTCCTTTTTAAAATGGAAAGGTGATTCTTTAGAACTGTCATCACAAGAGTCCTGGACCCTAACATTCATAATCCAGCACTCCAAGGCTTAGGCTAAACGGCCATTTGCCTGAGATATTAAAATGTTGAGAGGATAGATAACGAGCCCCAAACCATCCAGCTGGCTGTCTGGCAACCGATCATACTTGAAGCCCCAAAGCTGTTGGTTTTTGCTGACAAAACCTACACTTAAAATTGGCTCTGCCCACTTGTCTACTGTCTGTTGCCAGAGCTCTACTCTCCCCAGATCCAAATGGTGGTGCTTAAATCAGGGCAGGAAAAAGCAAATTAATCTAATGGACCTAATGGAGCAGGAACACAAACCAAGTGATGGGGTGACTGCACAGCTTCCCAAAGGGAAAAGAACCAAAAATATCTGAGAGGCGATTGTGGTAGACAGAATAATGGCCCCCAAATGTCCACATCCTAATCTCCAGAAATGGTGACTATGTTAGGTTACATGGCAAAGGAGAAATAGGGTTGTCAGTGGAATTGAGGTTGCTAATTGGATGACCTTTAAAATAGGGAGATTAGCCTGGATTCTCCAATCCAGGTGGGCCCAGTGTAATCACAAGGGTCCTTAAACCTGGAAGAGGGAGGCAGAAGAGAAGGCCAAAGAAGGAGAGGGAAAGATGCAAGTAGAGTCGGCGAGATGTTACCTTGCTGGCTCTGAGGATGGAGCATAGGGGCTGCTAGCCAAAGGCAGCCTCTAGAAGCTGGGCGGACAAAGACACAAATTCTTCCCCAGAACCTCCAGGAAGGAAGACAGCCCTGCCAACCCCTGACTCTAGCCCAGGGCGACTGCGTTTGTACTCCTAACTCACAGAACTATAAGATAGTCTGTCTGTGTTGTAAGCCACGAAGTCGGTGGTGATTTGTTACAGCGGCAACAGGAAGCTAATACAATGGTGTGACACAGAGGACCTGCCAAGTCCTCGCACTGCTCTGATCACCGAGATCCCAAGATACCAAGAAGAAAAGGGCTGCTCCAGAGATTACCCCAACAGCCAACTTACAACAAAGGTCAGTTTGATAAAACAGCTTTAACATAACTTTGACCTTGGCTCCAGTACTGAACAAGTCTCTCGCGGGCTACATGTTTGCTCGTTTGACACGTTTCACTTTTTAATTAGCCAATTAGCAGGCCTTGGGTGCAGAAGGCCCAGGTCATGTATTATTGATACAGTATCGAGCCAGGCTGCTGCAGGGGCCAGTGCTCAAACCCTGAAAATGAAAACACCAATTCTGTTGGCCTCGCTGATGGACATATTTTGCTCAAATCTCCTTCTTCTCTCCTGGGTCTGCAACTCATAGGACAGAGGATAGAGGGACTGAATTCAAAACAGTGTGTTCTCTGTGCCCTTCTTCCAATATTCACATCCACAGCCATCCAAAGATATGGCCCTTCCTCACCCGCCCCCTCTCCGACAGGGAAACAGAGGCAGGAGTCTATTCCTGGCCCCCACACTTGGTATTTGCATCAACAGAGTGGTTTTCAAATGCTGACCAAGATCCCTGACACGTATGGAAACGATTCCTTACATGTGTGGTATTATGTCCCATGGACTTTTCAGAACGAAATTCCTTCCTTTTGCCATGATTAGTTGTAGATAGAGTTAGAAACGTGTGCCAGTTTTAGTCAGGAAGTTGTATAATTCTGTGTACTGTGGTCTACTGTCAATGCTCACCCATGAACTCTCCGTGACGGCCCCCAAAATTCTGATGAGTCCCCAACAGTGAAGGTTTTGCAGATAGACCTCAGCTTGACTCCTCGCTCTGACTCTTCCCATACGTTTATGACCCTGGGCAAGTTACTTAACCTCTTACAGCCTCGGTGTCCTTACCTATAAATTGGGGATAATAATAGCACCTACTTCATACAATTTAGGGTTATCTTAGGTTTAAGTGAGATAATGCAAACAAGGTGCTTAGCAAACAACCTCACACACAGAAATCCCTTCAAAATGTTAGATGGGGCACCTGGGTGGCTCGGTCAGTGAAGCATCCAACTCTTGATTTCGGCTCAGGTCATCTCAGAGTTGTGGGACTGAGCTCTGTAGTAGGCTCTGAGCTCAGTGGGGAGTCTGCTTAAGATCTTTCTCTCTCCCTCTCCGTCTTCCCCTTCCCCATCTCCTTCGCCCCCCACAAAAAAGTGAGTTAATGTCATCATTAGCACTTTAAAAAATGCAAATGGGAAGTTGAGAGGAAAGAAACTGCTAGAAGGAGTAATGGGAGATAAGAAGTGCCCCAGGCAGGAGTGAAGCAGACAGGCGAGGTCTCCAGAAGGACTCTGAAGGAGGTGGTAACTGTCCCTCTAGAAAGGTGGGTGTGGGTTGATGGGGTTCCAGGAACGCAGGCCAGCTGATCCCCCAAACGGTGGTCAGTACCGCATTCCGCTGTCTCCACAACCTCTGCTTTCCACAGAAATGCTCTCTCCCCACCTACCTTCTCTATGGAGAGTTGTCCTGTCAGAGCACAGGTGGAGGACTCGAACACATGGAGATGGGCGAGCTCGCCGCTCAGCACACCCAAGGCACCGCATACACTTAGGCCAGGATCTGGGTTTCTGCACCCGGACTACCGGGATGGGGACACTTGTACTTCAGGGCCAGGCCCTGTTCCTATTCTGAACTCCTTTTCTCTTCTCCGGCCCCACAGTGTCAGGTGGCTCTCGGACACACCGCTCACGCAGCTTGATGCCCAGCGGGCATCGAATCAGGCAAATAACCGGCACGTGGTTTGGCACGTGTGCGTCACAGTGAGATTTTTGTCCCGGCTGAAGGGACAGGGGAATGTAAAACTCCCTCGGAGCTATCCCCACTCTTGTGTTAACTTTACGCTTCTAACACATTTCAGCCAGCCTGTCGTAGGGGCACCAGCTCAGGGCAAGCAGAGGTGTAGATCAAGGGAGACAAGAGTTATGACTCGAGGCGAAATAAAGCCAGTAGTTGTACCTTCATTTCGACCTCAGGGGCTGGGACTTCACCAGCTCGGGGAAAGAGCAGCAGAACCGACGTGACGATCAGAGCACCGAGGAACACGAAAACGACAGAGAACCTGGGGTCCAAGGACAGAATGTTACGGGCATGGTTTACAGATTCCTCTCTCTTCAGTTAGGTCTGGAGCAGCTTTTCCCTGGAGCCAGTATTCTAAGTTTCAGTCTCTTAACAAGGCCCAGAGCCCTGCTGCCCACGCTGTGCGGAGAATTTAGAAATCTCTCCCCTTCAGCCCAGAGCCATTCTTCCTGGACAGATCCCCAACTGGATGCATTCCTGCTGATGCCTGGTAATCCCTGAGAAGGGGATTGGGTACTTTTTATTTTGCCTCTGTGTGCTCGTCATCATGAACAATCAAAGCAGCCCTTCCCTCTTCTCAACTTCTCTGTCTTTAGCTGGAAGACTGGTAAGTCACACAGCTCTCCGCTTCATCCCAACACGGTCTGGCCACAGCACAGCTCTGCAGTGTGGTCAGGGTCAGTGTGCTGAGTGTCCTAACGAGAGCCAGCCTAAGCCATCAGCACGTCTGCAGTGTCCCCACGCCCAAGTCAGAGCCTCAGGGACTGGACCAGGCAAGTCGGACGTGCCCTAAGTTGGAACAATTCAGAAACACACATATATACACCCTCCCAAGGAGTTCAACAGGCAGCGAATGCGGATTTCCTTTTTGTCTCTTCTGTCCCCCGCCATCGCCTCCACAGTGAGAGCTAGAAAACACCACTTCCTTTCTCCTCTCACCTCTGCGTCAGAGCATAAATAATGCAGTCAGTGCTTATGATAACAGGTTAAAATGAAACTCATTCAAACTGCCAGTAATTACAAAAATGATCTTCTGGATTCTAACAGTTTCACGAGCATCAGCGATTTCACTTCTAATTGCTTTTACCTTGGACTCCCCGCTGGAGAGAAGGCCTTACCTGGCTATCCCGGAGGCTCTGGATAACAGCACACACAGCAGCAGCACCAGTACCCAGAGGAGGGCCAAGAGGAACACGCCGGCCCCCACCCCCAGCACGGTGCCAGCCATCTGTGGGGGAGAAGAAGTGTGAGCACTGCACCCCGCTCAGCCCTGGTGCCCCCCCCGGCACCATGCACCCCGCATACCCCCTGCGCCAGTTCTGCCTGTCTTCCTCCCACTCCCCGTGTGCGTGAGGGTGTTCAGACAAATGCAAATACAGAAAGTCTGAACTCAGTCTGACAAACTTCTGATGACTGACGTGATGGGAGGATTCACTGGTACAGATCTCTGGGGGAAGTCCAGTCCCTTCAGAGGAATTAGAAAACTGAAACCCTGGGATGCCTGGGTGGCTCAGTCAGTTAAGCGTCTGCCTTCAGCTCAGGAAGTGATCCCAGGGTCCTGGGATCAAATACCGCATTGGGCTCCTTGCTCAGTGAGAAGCCTGCTTCTCCCTCTGCCTGCTGCTCCCCCTGCTTGTGCTCCCTTGCTATTTCTCTGACAGATAAATGAATAAAATCTTAGGAAGGGAGGGAGGGAGGGAGGAAGGGAAGGAAAGAAAAGAAAAGAAAGACCCAGACAATCACAAGACAGAAATGTCCCCCTGTGTCGTTGAGATTTTCTTCACCAAAGGAAGCAAACTCCTAAGCCCTTGAAGAAGACAAGGACGATGAAGAAGAAAGGAGCCTCACTCTATTCGAGCATTCACGGAGTGCTAAGTATCTTACAAATACATTTCATTTAATCACGGCCGCAGGTGTCTGAAGTAGGTCTTACTACAGCCGTGTCACAGAACACGTAAATGAGGCATCATGCGAAGGGCTATGTATTCACAAACCAGTGGCTTACAATAGAACGGTATCCTCTCACGGTACTGGAGGCCAGAAATCTGAAATCAAGGGGCCTGCCAGGTTGGGCTGCCTCTAGAGACTCTACAGGACAATGCTTCCGGCATCTTCCAGCATCTGGAGGGCCGGGCACTGCTTGGCTTGCAGCTGCATAGTTCCAGTTTCTGTTTCTGTCTTTCCATGGCCTTCTCCTTTGTGTCTCTGTCACTTCCTCTTCTGTCTTTTATGAGGACACTTGTAGTGGACTTAGGGTCCACCCAAAGAATCTGGTTTGATCTCCTCTCAAGATCCTCAGTTATGTCTGCAAAGACCCTCCTTCTCCATCAGGTCATGCTCCCAGGTTCCAGGGATTAGGATGTGGGCACGATCTTTTGAGGAGCCATCACTCAGTGGGCAACCCACTCCACTGAGTCTAGAGCACGCCCCCTGATTTTCCACTTCAGTATCAGAGACAAATCTTAAGCAAATAAATTCCACCTCAGTTCATGGTTTTCTTTACCATGATGGTTTCAATACCACAAAAATTATTATCTATGAGAAGTTCTGTCATAAAGACATTGGAAAGTTTGGAAAGGAAGCCCTGGGCATAAACTGCCAAACAAACAAACATTTATTCAACCAACATCTATTCTGTGCCACAGTCTGGGGATCACAAGGGCAGATAAGATGTATCTTCTGACAGAAGCTGCAGGCCCACTGGGGAACACTGTCATGTAAACAGCTATCCACGCTGCACTCTGATAAGGAGACAACATACAAAGTGGGACAAAGTGGGAGCTGAGGCAGCGCAAAAGGAGAAGGGCCTCAATGAGGAGGTGACTTCCCATAGGCCCATTTGGGAAAGAATCCATGTGGTAAGATGACAGGTACGGGGAGGGGTAGGCCGAGAGAGGAGTGGCAGCAGGTGGGCTGGGCTCTCACTTGCTTCTCTAACCTATCTGGGGTGCCCCCCCATTAGAACGCATGGTATTACCCCAATAACTCTAAAGTGGCAAGAGTTTCCCCACCGCTGGGTCCCTGTACTTGCTGTTTCCACTGCCTGGAATTAATCCACAAGCACCACGAACCTTCCACTATTTGTGGGGCTGGCTTCTCCTCATCTGTCTGATCTCGGCTTTAAATGTGACTTCCTCAGAAAGGTCTTCCCTGATGGCTCTGGTTAAAGGAACACCCGGAACAATTGCCCTCCATCATTCCTTATTTCCTTCAGGGTCCATTTCACAAACTGTAGTTCACTTTTTAACTTACTTTCTATGTCTCCAACCAGGATAGCAAACTCCAAGAGGGCAGAGATTTTATATCTTGCTCCCCACAGTATCCCCAGTTCTTACCACAGGTATAATAAGCAAGAAATATTCATTGGATGAATAAATGAAGCAGTGCTAACAAATCCACAGAAATCGAGTGAAGGGCTGATACGATCATATTTAACTTTAGCAAGAGGATTGTAACTTCTGGCCAATATGCTGGACAGCCCTAACACAGGAAGTACCTCGCACGACAGTGGACACATAGAAATGCTTCGTAAAATTGCACAAAAAGAACTCAATACACAGCAGAGCTCGGGAGCAATAATGGAAAATCCTTAAGTGTCATAAATGAAAGCACATATCAAAATCTGAGTGGTGAGCAGGAGCTGAGCCCAAAGGTCTACAGGGTTACTGAAACCAGCCGCAGACCCCTGGAGTGGTCCCTCCTGGACAGATGAGGTCTCAGACCTACAACACAGAGAACCGAATAGAGAACAAGGCATAAAGATAAGCCCAGAAAGGGCTCACTTGTCTTTGAAACAGGGACTAGAACATTTGCTACTGACTCTGTTGGAAGAAAGTTGGCCAAGTACCTCAGGCTGTGAGTGAAAAACAGACTAACCTAAGAGAAATCTGAATCCCAAGCCAACACCACATGCCAGTGTGGGGTTCAAATCATACTACCAAAGTGGTATGGGAATCTTGAGAAGGAAGATTTACATAAAACCAGTCTCAAAGTAAGAAACTCGTGGGATCCTGGCAGAGACAACTGAAACCTCTTGGTAGGGATGCCACACAAGTCAGCGGGCAAGGCTCCCACTAGAGTGGGTATAAAATAAATTTGTTTTTAGACATAAAAGGAGTGAAATGGCTGTCATAGCTATACTTTAGCAAGAATGAAAATGAACCAAGAAAGAAGGCATGAGATGTAAGGAGGGACGGTAAGAAAAATACTGGGTAATATTAGTAGTAAAGACTTCGGTAATGATAAGAAGGGCTAATTGTTTGAGGAGTTAAAAACAAGGAAGAACAATAGCAACACAATATGGATATGTCTCCTCAGGCAAGGGAACCAAAAGCAAAAATAAACTATTAGGACTCCACCAAAATAAAAAGGTTTTGCACAACCCAGGAAACTACCAACAAAACAAGAAGGCAACCGACTGAATGGGAAAAGATATTTGCAAATGGTATTTTCCATAAGGGGTTAATACCCAAAATACATAAAGAACTTCTACAACTCAACACCAAAAACGAATCTGATGAAAAAATGGGTAGAAGTTCTGAAGAAACATTTTTCCAAAGATATCCAGATGACCAACAGACACGTAAAAAGATGCTCAACATCACTCATTATCAGGGAAATGCAAATCAAAATCACAATGAGATATTACACTAGTCAGAATGGCTAGACAAGAAAGAGACAAGAAAGAACAAGTGTTGGTGAGGATGTGGAGAAAAGGAACCTTCATACACTACTGGTGGAACGTAAATTGGTACAACCACTTGAAAAACAGTATGGAGGTTCCTCAAAAAATTAAAAATAGAAATACGATATGATTCAGTGATTCCACTACTGGGAATTTACCCAAAGAAAATGGGAACACTAATCTGAGCAGCCTATGTTTATTGCAGCATTATTTACACTAGCCAAGATATGGAAGCAACCTAAGTGTCCATGGATGGAAGAATGGATAAAGATAAGGTAGCTAAAGAGGATTAAAAGGTACAAACTTCCAGTTACAAAATAAGTCACAGAGATTCAATGTGTTGTACACCTGAAACTAATATAACACTGTATGCCAATTATACTTTAATAATAAAGAAAATAAAAACAAGGAAGAGCTGAAATATTTGTCAACAATTATGTGGAAGATGAGAAAGGACAGTTCCAAGTGAAATTATTGGTTATTATTTCGCTCTGGAAGAGATGCCAGTTAATGATTACCTATAGGCTTTGTTAAACTAAATCTGCATGTTAAAAAACATATAGGTGAACACCAAATAAAAGAAATAGGGTAAATAACTTCCACACTATTAGCGTGAAAAAAATAAAGGAAGAGGGCAGAAGGCAAGAGGGGAGAGAAACAAAGAAAAAGCAAGGAATATAGAAAATACAACACAAGATTGTAAAATAAACCCAAATATAACAGTCATCATAGTAAACACACATGATTATTCTCGAATATTGAAGGGGATTTTCATACTGGATGTTGTTTAAACCAGCTCTCTGCATGGAAAGAATAATGAGAGAGATACTGAAAAAAGGCAACTGATAAGCAAACTGAAATACAAATAAAACAAACACAAGGGGGAAAGGGGAAGATGGGAGGATGTTGTCCAACAGATACAGAGTTTCAGTTTTGTAAAATGAAAAAGTTCCAGAGATCCCTTGCACAACAATGCGAATATCCTTAAGACTACTTAACCAAACATTTAACGTGGTTAAGATGATGAATTCAAGGTATGTGTGTTTTACCACAATTAAAAAAAACCCAAACCAAACAAAATAAAATCTGGTGAAGCAATATTAGTATCAAACAAAATAGAATGGAAAGCTTTGAAAGGTATTAAGAGTGACAGTCCCTAACAGGAAAACTGAACAACAGCAAAACCCCAAAAAAACCAACTCAGGACAAATATAAACCCAAGACAAAATTTTAAAATATGTAAAGTCAAAAGGAATCACTGTAATAAATGAACAAACCCACAAATTTAGTGGAGATTTTAATATACCTCTTTCAGAAACTTAAAGTGAATATATGAATGGCCAATAAAGATATGAAAGGTGCTCAACTTCATTAGTCATCAGGAAACTGAAATGAAAACCACCCTGCAGTACCTCTAGATACCCACCAGAATGTCCACGAAGGTATAAACTTCCAGTTATAAAATAAGTATGTCAGAGAGATTCTATATGTTGTACACCTGAAACTGTATGTCAATTACACTTCAAAAATTAAAACAAAATAAG